TAACTCATAGAAACATTGTGTGCAATAGTCCACCTTCCACCTTCTCCTCCTCTCTGTTACTTCCTCTCTCTCCCTCTCAAACCTACACACACCTTGGAAAGTGCCACAGCACTGCATGTCTCTGTCCTCAACCCTTGTCTTGTGCTTTTATTGGCTGTATCTCACTGACAAAGCCCCACACAGGTCCAGATATTTAGTATGCTAGATATCTTGGTGAGTTCTCTCAGCTGGTGTTTTCTTCAAACAGTTAACACAGCGCTCAAACGGCAATTCCAAGTGCCAAGCCAGCGCCGATTTCCGTCGGATCTGGAGCTTTTGTCGGGGAGCTCCAAAAACAGTGAGTGAAAAATCAGGGCTAAAGTCATGCAGTGTGAACTACTATGAAATCTTGGCATCTTTCCAAGAAAAAACAGCTTGTAGATATCAGTTATTTAGAACTTTTATTTTGTTTTTCATGAACAAAAAGGTAGTGTATACATTTCCTTTTTTCCCCAGCACATTTATACATATTATATTCAGAAATTACTTAAACATAAAAAGCAAACGGCGTAGAAATCCACTCTGACATCTTAACCCATTGGTTAAAAGAAGCAATTCTTAAATAGAAAAACATAGAAAATAATAGTAATTGTCCACTCCACATTATAATCACACAGATGAAGTATAGGTGCAAAATATGTTCCCCAGACAATGACATATAATGTATATATGTGATGTGTGCATAGGGAGAAAAGTAAAGATTTGGCAGAGCCCTATTGGATGATAAACCTCATTGCATTAATAAAGCCATAACAGGACTCCATCTTTTAGTAAAGGCGGATTTTTGTTATCTATTGAAACGTATTTAACAGCTGTTCGTTAACAACTTATATTAATGAGCAGGTCTGCTTAGTTAAAATTATTATACTAATGAAAATGCTCATTCTGTTGTTTTATTGTGATGTATTAATGAAGGATGTGGGTGTCTGACCAACCCTATAAACACTCTGTGTACCATGAAAGCACAGTTCTGCACAAATGCAGTGGAAAAGGAACAGTGTGTAAGCATTTGCTGGTATACGCTACACAAATGCAGTGGTGCATCTCACAAGTGTGTGTGTCGAAGTAGGGAGAAGAGGCCCTCCTTACCCTTGGGTGAAAATTCCAACAACTCCTGTAGGCACCTAATATAGAACGTACAATACACACACACATGCACACCCACTGCTTGAGCATAGTTTCCTTGACTTCTGTTACTTCCCTGGAGGTTTACTCTAATTTAAACCAGAAGTGATATACGTCTAACTCTGACCCTTAAACCATCGCCGAAGACCAACTTAATTAATGTTCCATTGATCTGAAGGGAGTGAAGCTAATTTGGGGAAACCAGTTTCCCAAAGAGACAAGCTGTCCCGATTCAACAGGAATGACTTGATATTTGTTTCCCAATCTGGCCTTTGTCAAACACACCCCCACGCACATACACACAAACATAAACTCCCATATAACTGTCCCAGTAAATGTGGGGTGCTGTCTGGTAATAAAAGCCTTCCGCTGCGGTGTAGCTGAACCCCTGTGTTTAACTGGCTCTGTGAATGTGTTACCGCTGAGAGACACACTCTGCGAAACTGTACTTACTGGGATTTGGGATTTGGCAGACGCACTCAGCCAAGGCTTTTGTGTTTTTTAGGGGGGGAGAGGGAGACAATTGTAGACTCGTGGATGCACTAAATGCTATGTTTGTGTGTTGGCTGTGTGCGCTCGCATGTGTTGCATCCAGGTAGGCTTGCTTATCTGCTATATTTACCCTTTGTGTGTCAGTGTCTGGTCAGTGTGTATCGATGTCAAGCGTTGCCTCTGGTGTCTGATTGAGTTACTTGGCAACCAGGTCGCATGTCACCATCTCCTGTCTGTGTCACGTTATTGGTGACAGTGTGTCGAGTGTGTGTGCGCTAAGGTGAAATGTATGCTTTTCACCTTTCCTGCTGTTTATTTAGCAGGATGTATAATTTGGTTGGCTCAGCACGTTCTTATTTGGAGTTAAATTGCAGGATTTAGTTTTTCAGACTCAGATGTTTCATCTTCATAATCAGCGGTTTCAAAGGACCGTCTCATTCACTCCGTCCACGTTGTCATCTGTTTCTTCGTTTTTCTTTTTACTTGCTTTCTTTGAGATATCTCACTGTGTCTTTTGATGCAAGAGTGTGAATCCAGTTTGTCATCTAATAACCTTTAATCTTATGATTTTATGTAATTTAGCTTTAATTACGTCAGTAGCTTAACTTTAGTCTGTCAGTGTCTGGTCGTATGTTTACTCTGTCCCCCGTCTCCTTTCTTATCATGTGTGAGAGGAATGTCCCAAACTGACTCTTTGACCTGTACAGGCTGTTTTAAACAGCAGCTTATGTAGGGTCTGTATCGTTTCACTGCTAATGACTGTAACATGCCTCTAATGGTATCGCCATGTTTATGTTACATATCGCTTCCTTGATACTGTATCTTGCCTGGGACCGACAGTATCTGGTGCTGAAATGATGCTATTTAAATTATTGCTAAATTAACTGTAAACTGAGATTGTTTCCACCAGTGTAGGCATTTTGTGCTCAGTAACATCACTAGGGAAGAAAATGAGTAGTACGTGATGCAGTACATCTGCGGATATACTGTTATATATATGTGTATATATATATATATATATGTATATATATATATATGTACACACTTGTACGATTATGTTGATACAGACTTGATATTGGAATTTCTTGAAGACATTTAGTGTCTAAATCCATAACCGTCAAATTCATACTTCTTTATTTTAGTGTTATCTCATCTCACTCTCAAGTCCCTAATTTTATTATTGTCTCATTTTGATGAGTGGATAATTTATTTATTACAGGACTAAAGCTGTTATTGGTAGATATGCTTGATTTAATGCACATTTTATAGCAAATTTTGAACCCTCTCAAATTTATTGGAGGGTCTGTTAGTATAAAAACCACACAAAAATTATATATCATTAAAAGGTTTTCTGATACTGTCACTTAATCAGTGGTGATGGTAAACTTTGGAGTAATACAGGTCCATAATTTGGCTCATAATCAGTGAGAAACAGACAACAAACAAGTTTACCATCCACAACTCAAAGGCTTAATTTATGATATAACTAATGTACAAGGTCCCAAAATTACTGATTGCTCCTTTAAAGTCCACATATTTGTTAAGTTTCACAATTAGGCAACAGAAATCTGACGAATTTCTGACAAGAAGCAGACAAACCAAAGCTGTTAAATGACATCAGATATCAGGTTGAACATATTGATTACTGTCACTGCTGTGTGCAGCTTTAAGGGCGTGAAAACAGGGTGATTTATGAAAAGGAAGTGAGGTGGGGGTGAACCAGGATGCTGACCTAATATGATGACCTTTGACTTTCCAATTCCCTTTGGGGGGTTACGGTACTAAAAGAGCTTTTCTTCCTGAAAAGAGGAAATCAATAGACTGAACTGGTCTATTTTTTGCTCGGTATTTATGGTAGATTGTCTTTCATTTTTGGCTTCTATGAGTTTAAGTGTTTTCCTCACTAAGTCAGTTAACATCTTGCTCTTTGCTTTTTTAATCACTTGTTTTCATTTCATACTTACACAGTCCCTTTATCGCTGCACAGGAGAGAGTATTGCAGGTTAATTATTAAAGGACTGTGGCCTTATGTGTCATCAATGCGGACAAAGGTCTTAAAATATACGTGTGTGTGTGTGTGTGTGTGTGTGTGTGTGTGTGTGCGCGCGCACACACGTGTTACATGTTTTAAGTCAAGCTGGGGCATCAGTAGCAGGCAGTTGTCCCTTGGTGTAAACAGCAAGTGCTGAGATAGTAGATTTCCCCTCTAAAGGGAAAAAGAAAATGAGGTTGGGGACCTGACAGAGCGATGGGTGTTTAAGTCTAGGTTTACACCACATCCTAGCCACAAATCTGGGCTCAGCTTTCAGCAGTGTAATGGATCCTCTGAAGGAGATCCACAAATAGGAGTTATAGCTTCAAATCAGACATAAGTTACTTCCTGTAAATTTCTGTCTTCAGGTTTAATGAAGGAACAAGGAAGTTAAAGGGACTGATTAGGTTTGTACATGGTTACTGTGTGCACCACACACTTGAACACAAACATGCACACACACACACACACACAGAGCGCTGGTTTATTGTCACACCTTGGTGGTCACACTCCCTCTGCGGTTACACTTGGGTGGGAACGCTCCACCTCCCTCACACACTTGTAGCGCCCCATAAAAAGTTTGTTTTTGTCCCCGAGGTCCTCTGTGTGCTTTTTTAGCCTACCTCAACTATATGTTGGGCAACTAAATATGAGTTGTGTGTATTATGCTTTACGAAAGGAAAAACACCAATTGCATATTTCTCTTAGATCTTTGACAACATGAATCACTTTAATGCAATCTCTTAAATGTTTGATTGATGTATAACTGTTGGGTGGGTGTTTTCATCATCCTGTTATTGAGTTGAGGTTCCTTTCTGGTACTCTAAATTTGTTGTGTAACCAGTTGCTTCCAGGACCTCAGGCAGAATGTTAGTTACTCTCATGCTGTAAGAATGTCTTTAAAAAGTCTTTGAATATACAGCGCAGTGCCTTAACAGTCTAAAAATGTGTAGGTTTCCACGTGCAGTGTGTGTCAAGAAAGGAATCAATCCGACTTTGCAGATCTACAGCGCGTTCTCTCGTAGTCTGTAGCTGCTCAGGTCGCTTATTTAACTCTTACTGGCAGTTAAAATGTCGCACAGATGAAACACAACTCGCAATTATCACCGCCAGCACCTGTGAGGGATTAAACGCTCCGTCTTTGTCTCCGATAAGGAAGCACCTGAGGGACTAGAGACAACTAGGATAGCGAAGAACATAAACAGAAGGATAAGTGGAGAAAGAAAGGTGCGAGGGGAGGGAGGAAGGAGTGGTTGCCATGCCGGCAAACGAACGGATGGGAGGGGCAGAGATCAGGGATCACAGAAAACAGAAAGAAAGAGGGAGGGAAGGAAAGGAAGAAGGGACGGGCTGACTCGTATTTCAGCTCCGTGGCTACTAGGGTTGGGTGTAATCCTAACTCTACGCTCACAACACACAGTCAACTCTCACAGTCAGTCACACACTGACCAAGAATGAAGTTCAGGGAATCCTCATCAGCACACACTACTTATTAGCCTGTCTGTGCGTCACGCTGCGTGCTCAGCAGGTGTGGATTTCCCCTCCTGATTCATGCTTTATCACCGATCAGCTGACTTGAGATTCAGATCCAGACGGCGACTTTGAACACCTGGACTTTTTTTTTTGTTTGTTTGTTTTTTGTAAACGACATCAACATTCTTAGCATGCCTCTCCCTCCAGTGTCGACAATACACCAGGGAATGCAGTCAAAACAGAAGAGAGAAGAAGAGGAAGAAGAAGGTGTTGACAAGTTTTCATGAAATTCTCTGGCAACCCTCCGAGGCGGCATCGTCTTTACCCCCTGGCATCTAAACACACACACATAATAGAGGATCCGCATTTGGAACTTGTGGCGGGAGGATTTCATATGCAAGTGTGTGCCTGTAACTTCATCAGGCTTGGAATAGACCCAGGGACGCTGACAGCTCTTAACCTCCTGGTCTGACCTGGCGCTGAAGACGGTGCGAGTCAGCTGGTGTGTGTGCTAACAACTGGAGATACTCAAGGACACACACGGTTGTAAACAACAACTGCTGATTCGCTGTGATTGAAAAGTATCTAAATGTAATTTGGAAACCTCTCTCCACCCCGTCATGCACCACAGAGGAATATTACAGCCAAGTGTGTGTATCTGAGTGTGTGCTGTAGATGGGCGGTGATTTTCCAGATTGCTGGATTGCCTAATTATCCCTTTTGGGTTTGGGAATAACGCCCGGAGTCTTTTAAACACAAAGGACGAGAAGAAAGGAAAAGAGATGATTTAAGTCTGGCTTTTGGCTTATGACACAGAGATTAATTGAAGGAGAAAGGGGCTGGAAGTTGAGGCTGTCCGGGTCAGAGCCACGATGTGGAACTGTGCAACCAAAGTGGAGGAAAACTGGGTTATAGCTGAACGTCCTCCTGGAACTAATTTAATACTTGACATGGAATCCGAATAGTTTGAAGCATTTTCATGTGCAGACCTGGATGCTGCATTCAGAAATGTTTGGAATCTCATGATCAGGACTAAGAGTGAATATCTGCCATCCAACGCAACATCTGAGGATTATTTCCCCAGGTGGTTTTAAAGACGCACACCCTCGCATCTCGGACTTGCTTTATCAAAATTGAGGATGAGAGGGGAAAGGAGGTCAGCTTCCTTTCGCAAGGAGAAACCTGCGGGCCTGTCCCGCGCTCTCAGCTGGCTGAGCGTGTCTACCCTCTCGCGCCAGAGCAGACGCATCTTCCACAGCCAGAATGAGCTCCACTCCGTCCACAACCGCCAATCATACTCGCACACTCACCTGCATGCAGCGGACGGAGACGAGGATGATGACGATGATAACTGGGTCTATCAGCCTCAACACAAAATAGGTGAGAGGGGTGAAAGCAATGACGACACAAACTTTGTCGTTGGATATTGTGTTCGTTTGTTGTGCGTCTTTCAGTAGATGCAAAAAAACACATGGTATGTTTGTCTTGGCTGCGTCACAGCTTGTCACAATGCTCTGAGCTCATTCGAATGGATTGTTGTTCTCACACTCAACCAGGAAGCCAGTGAATGACTTGTTTACTTGCACAGGCATAGCAAGAAGTGGGTCACTGTCTTTTTATGGCCCCTTGTTCTCCGTCTCCACTTCCTGGCACTTCCTGGTTACTATAGAGAGCGAGCAGGAGTTGTCTGCGATCACTGGGACTGTTAGGGGGTCAAAGGGCACTTTGTGTGCACGATAGGTAAGCAATGATGCGTCTGGCCGGATGCAGGTGATGTCACGGGCAGGGTGATGTCACAGGCTGGTGGCGATGTGAGTGCAGGGTTCGGTGCCAGGGAGTGTGTGTGTGTGGAGGCTTGCAGAGCTCATCACTCAGACTGAGTGGTGATAATGTAGAATAATGTGTTTTCTTCATCACTAGTTTATATCTGGATATTGTCTTGACTGAGGTAAGAACGCCATTTATCTTTCTCTCAGTACCTCTGGGATATTTTGTTTCCTGATTAGGCTCATTACTTATTTATCAGTTCATTAGTTGTGTGTGTGTATGTGTGTATTTAGTCAGTGGTGTCAGTAAGACTTTGGGGACAACAGTTGTAACTGGAGCTGTACCTCTACCTGAAAATGGAAAAAGACACCGATGCTGCACTTCAGTCTCACGACTTTATTCATTAACTCTGACCCATACTGCTGTCACCTCCAGCTGCAGTGACGGGTCTGTTTCAGCTGGACTCAAATCAGCAAAGACAGCGAGGGCTAGTTTGACATCCATAATCATCAGTCACTGTAATCATACTTAAAATTACTGCAGGAGGTGTCTACTTTTTAATGCAAAAAAATCAGACATTGACGTGTGGACACTGGCAAAAAAGTTTTTTTTTTAAATTGTTATTTGCATTTTTGAGGATTATTTAACATATGTAGAGACCCCAAAAAAAGTAATAAAAAAATACATATACATGCATTGAACATAATCAAACAAAAGCATATACAATATAAGGAAATAAGTGACAATAATATACTGATGATAAATTAAAAAAGAGCAAAAAAAGCACATTAAATAGCAGTTTTCTTATGGTACATAACATGGCCTCCTACATGTTAACGTGTCCATTAAGAGGTGTAAATCACAAGTTTCATCATCAATACTTTATCAATTCCGTGGACAATTTTAAGATATTTGCTCACATCACAAGGTCATACTATTTTGATTCAGTTCACTTCAATGCAGGCGCCTGCGATCAATATGCAAAGATATCAGTAAATATCTTCATTGTCTTTTTCTTGGTTGCCTACCATTGTCTGACTGGCACTAGGCTGCTAGCGCTGTTTGAATGTTTACGAAGGAGGTTTGCTTGGACAAAAATGGTGATGCAGACTTGCCATGGCAATTTTAGAACAAAGGCAGATCTTAAACATGACGATATATATTGATGTTTTCACTTTGCATCAATGATATTGGATTGCTGATAATTGAATCAATATATTGATCCAGATCAGTGTAGCGTTACATCCCTAGTGTCCATGTCCATATGCACAATGCACAGTGCATCGCACATATTTTTCCTCTTACCTGTAGTGCTGTTTATCAATCTAGATTATTTTGGTAAGAGTTGTTGAGCATTGGAGATATCATCCATAGAGATGTCTGCCTTCTCTCCGGTATTATAGAACTAGATGGCACTCGGCTTGTTGTGTTTAAAGTGCCCAGAAGACCAACAGCAATGTCTCTTTTCAGAAATCATAAGCCAGTTACTCAAGATTATCCACAGACCTTGTTGTGAACAGTCTCATGCAGAAACTATTGTCTTTTACCAAACTACACCAGTCAACTGTATCACCGCACAGACGGAAGCATCTACTACTGCTGCCACTAAGCTAGCTTGATTGACTGATAATAGAACATCACTGCTCAGTCGAGGAGTTACAAGCCTCTCGTCCATGATTAGCTGTATGCTTTCTTCTGCGTGGAGATGCGGTTTGGTGGATGTAGTTCAGTAGGAAGAAAATTGTTCCCTACATGAAACTGCTCACAGCAAGGTCTGTGGATTATCTTGAGTAAGTGAGTCTTGGTTTCTGGAAAGAGACATTGCTGTTGAGTTTTCCAAATGTCTTTCTTAGCACCACAGCGAGTGACATCTACTTCTATTTATTAGAGAGAAGGCAGACATCTCTACGGCTGATATCTTTAACACTCAGCAACCCACACCAAAATAATCTACACTGATAAATCTCATTGGAGGTAAGAGGGAAATTTATATTTTTGATTTTGGGGTGGACTCTCCCTTTTAAGCAAAAGTTGCCATTTTGTAGCCTCACAGGAATGTGGAGCTCGTTGCTGTTGTTGCCGTTCACTGCATGTCTCAATCCTCGCTGGTCACTCAATCACCTCTGAACCTGCCCCATCCTAAAACAGCTCAGGGCGGAACATGGCTGGGATGGTTTGAGGTCCTCGCATTTTTTCTCAAAGTCAAAGGGGAGAAGCTGCGTTCACCATTTTGGAATGTCGTCATTAAAACCAAGGCTTTAGATGTTTACCACATTATAAGAGTTGGAGTGAAAAAGGCGTTGATGTTTTTAAATCTTTTGAAAATATTTTCCGTGTCTCAGTTCTTCAGGCCGGTTTATATGTTGTTAAACTTCTAAAGCTTTAAAAACAGAGAACACCATGGAGATTCAATAAATACAAGCTTGAGATGACTCAGGCCCCAACACAGGGGTGGTGATTAGCTCTAGTGCTTAGGAAAGCACTTCTATCTAACATGAATTGTTTGACACATCTCATTGTGTTGTCCTTCAGTGGTGATCATTGTTACTTTACTAGTCTGATAGATTTGATTTTCTCAAACGATTATTTGTTAGAGTCAGGAAGCAGATTCAGATTGGTCAATTCCAATCCATGGTAATTGACCGTATACTTGTTAAGTCTTAGAGGAAAGGAAAGGGGAGTGTTTATTGATTTTGTTGTATTAGCTATCAGCAGGGATTGTAGTGGAAGTGAATGCACCAGAGGATTTGTTTTTCAGAGCCTTGCTTTCACCTAGTGAGCTTTTTTCTACCTCACACGCCCTCTTTTTTTCTCTCTCTCTCTCTCTCTCTCTGTCATACACAGACTATATCTTTTTATAGATAATTCTAGACCAGAGACAGTGTCAGAGACAGGTCAATATAAAACTATTCCATCCATAGCTCACACACAGATATACACACATGCTGTACGTGTGCACGCTGCACACCACACAGCGGAAATGTCTCATAAGAATACCTCTCTAGTTTGAAACGTAGATATTTATAACCTCTGGATCTTGCTTCCTCACGACTGCCAGCGCCCATTACAAGGCACATGGGCAGCCGCGCACCGTGCCTGTGTGTAAATATAGCCCTAAAATGAGCGCCTGTGGCTCCAGAACCTGCAATTTTGACGCAGCCTCCAGCTTGAATGGTTGGGTGTTTGCCTCGGTTGCCAAGGGAACGGGTGTGCGATTGAGTGCTTCCCGGTGTGGTTCAGTTTGACTTTGCTATTGGGACAAGGCTGAACCAATCATGTGTAAGAGAGCCGTCTGGTACACAGGCTGCTATTGGCTGTCCTGACCTAAGGTGGATTAAAAACACTGGGTTGTGAAAGGGAGCAGAGAAATTATGAACAGGACAACAAAAGTAACGAAATGTATTTGTCTTGTTTTGCGTAGCATTTCATAGAGCCAAATATCTGGTGTATTATGTGACTTACTTTTTTATTCCTCAAGTAAGAAAATTGCAGTATGTACTATAAACAGTTTTTTATAGTCAATTGTTTGTGCAGTTAGTATACAAAATCCAATCTATACTTATGGAAAATGATGATTTGCAAATTGTTTTCCAAGCAATAAATCTTAGTAAGCCTTTATTACGTTATTACATTAGCAACATGGGTGGAGAGGCAGGGAGGGGTGTTACATGCACCAAAGTAACCCAGGGACGTTACAGCTATATGGCGTGTATTTTGAACCTCTGAACCATCAAGATGCTCCAACAGTTAAACACTTTTTTGTTTTATGAGATGTTCCTGGAACTGTTCCACCACCACCCATCGTACGTTTTACTTTTACCTGCTGTGAGCACCTCCTCAGTTTTGTTTGTGCAATGAGCTGTAGGACAACAGTGCCTATCAACAGCTCCCACAAAAATATATACTGCATTCTCAAAACCTGCTTACGTAAATATGTATGGTAGAACTGGGACTCTTCTCTGATGCAAGGCAGAGAAAAAAACATGATGTTACACCAGATCAACAGTCGGTCAATGTCGGGCCGTCGGTGGACGTCTGTGGCTCTAGTTTTTGCAGTGTGTCCCGTACCATTGGCACGTAGTCGGCCATTGTCGGCGGCTGTTAAGCTGATTGAGCATGTAGAATCACTGGCAGGGTGAGAGTAATCACTCTGATTAGCTGTTTAAGTAAATGAGTGCACGAGAAGAGAAACTGAAGCAAGGAAAGCAAGCAAACGAATGAAGTCAAGAGGGCACACACAGAAGGCTCTTCGAATTGGTCATCTTCATCTCTTCTGATCATTCAATACACAAATATTTTAACGATGACATGGCCGTCTACAATGAAGCAACTGAAGACCAAGTGGTGAGCAAGAGTGGTGTGAAAAACGCTCCTTTATTCATGTACGTTACACAACTGCGAGTTGTAATCAGCTGTCTTTGCTCTTTCAGTCTCCCTTTTTGAATGACGAATATAGACTGCTATCACCTGCTGGTATGGAGAGTTATTTCCTGTCACGCAGGTGTAGAACGTACGTGCTCGTTGGCAGTTGGCTGTAGTATTTCTGGTTTGTTCAAGTGCAACTTTTTGGACCAGACAAAGGCAACGCAACAGTCGGCCTTTGTTGCTGCACG